CTCAGTTAGTCTGTGAAAATGGAATAAAATGGTATCAATACAAGTATTTCAGCATAAAAATATCTACTGATCACAGACAACACAAAAGTATGTTTCTCATTTAAAAAGAAACATTTTCATTTACAGGTATAGAGGAGGATGTTTTTTTTCCCGGGTAGATCATCAAAATAAGTGGTCCTCCTAAAGGGCTGGTTATACTCCCGCAGCAGTGTGTCGCATAAGCTTGTCGCAGGTATGACGCAGACATTTTAGAGTTATGCTCAATTTTGAAGCGTGGTCTGCGCTATTTTTATTCCACAACTAGCTGTGGGTCTAGATACGGCAGAGGGGGTGAGGAAATGGGGGCAAGTTTGCCCGACAACAGAGGGACATGAGGGTGAAAAAGAGCGGGGATCCAGGTGGAAAAAGGGTCCCAGCGTTCTTGCGCACCTCACTCTTCTAGCTGGTCCAACTTTACGAGTTGTTTACCGCAATTGTGGTCATACAAACAAAACAAGCCGTTAAGGTACCAAACAGGAAATACGCATAGTGTAGAATGGATGTAAATTTGACCAATCAGAGGTCTCCTGTCTGCGGCACTGTCTGTGGTCACCTACAAGTTGGGAGAGGTGCAGCAGAGTGTCTACGGAGGGGGCAGGGAGTCTCTGCGTTCACTGCGACACCTATGCAGACGACCTGGTTTGGAATTATAAATCAGCCTTAACTGTCAATCATTCTCGTGATATGTTTACGTAAGGTCGTCCTTTTTCACTTACTGGTGGTGAGACCGACAGTGAAAAAATTGCAAATCTTCTTTTGGAAAGTAAGCTTGTATGAACGATGCAAACAACAACTTTTAAACAGAGTGTGCACAATGAGAAATGGGCTCATGCACGCTCTCACACGCATTTAAGAGGCGGGTCTTGGGTTGTGTATGTGGAGTGGAGAGGGCAGGTCTTCGCCAATTCGCAAAAATCCTCCACTTTATCTTTAAGAAAATATTCAGTGGATCTCACAAACCAACAATCAAACATGGTGATGGAATAATGATGGTCTGGGGCAACTTTTCTGCTTCTCTCAGTGAATAATTTGTCATTAACCATCAAATCTTCCCCCTACCAAAATATCCTAATACAGAGTGTCTGGCCATTAGTTTGTTCTCTTAGCTCAGCCAGGACAATTATCCAAATCACACAATTTGAAATTTTAAATGTATAAAAACCCTCAAACAAAATAAAGGATTTGGTGCAGCCAAGTAGAAGTCTGAGCTCATAGCCAACGGTGATACTGTGACATGACCATAATCAGGTCAAACATGGTGGAGAACCCATTGGAAGGTATAACAAACCCTCCAGAGGTTTCACAGCCTGTTACTTGTAGGATCCAAGTTGGTTTGGATAGCTTTAATCCTCCAATAGCTTATTATGTTTGACAAATAAGTGTGACAAAAAAAGACAATACAGATCAAATAATATTGGTGTTTTGCTCACTGAAAAGAGATAAATCACAGATACATTTTAATTGGTTTTAGATAAACTCAAATGTCACAGTGGTTAAAGATCAACAAACCAATTAATGATCAATCTAAGCATCATTACTCCCCTAGTTATTAGCATAAGGTTTTAAGTCCTATTTTGTTTGAATTAGGATGTTTAAGGAGCATTTGGGAAAGGAAAAAATACAAAACACTCTACATGCAGACAAAGCCCATAAAGTTTGAACTCTATAGCACCCAACTATTTGTATATGTGTATTGCATTTTATTTAGATTCATATTTTGTTCTTCAGAATTCCCCGTCCAGAAAAAATAAAATAAAATGAAATATAAGAACAGGCTCCTGAAGCTGAAGTTCTGATCAGGAATGTAGGAATTGTCAGATTGCCCTGAATTTTCTATTAAATATTACTACAGCTCATGAAAAATAGATTAAAGGTTGCCTGTTTGTGCTGCTTATCAGCGCTTTTGTACGTCATTCTAATCAAAACTAGCTTAGAATTTTTATTTCACACATAGTTTGCGGTATGGCAAGCCCTTTGTGGTAAAAATTGATGTTGCTTTTAATCCACCTGGGTTAAACATTGATCAGAGCTTTATAATTCAACTGAAATGTCGCCAAAACTGAAAAGATCAGAAGCTGCTTTGAATTGGCTGCCTTTTTTTTTTTCACACCCATAGCTTTTATATAAGCTTTTATATAACAAGCTTTTATTGTAAAAAGCACTATTTGATTACTGAGTTTTAAAAAGGAGGGGGACATAATGTAATCCCCTGGTGTAAATTAGTATTCCAGTTGGGATTTTATCATCCCATGGTAAATATGGATTTTTACATATTTTTGTCATCAATGGCTTGCCATACCTGGCTATGCTGGCATGAATTACATCATCCCTCCATGTAAACAAGTAATCTACAGGGTTTCTTTTTTTTTTTAAGCTTAACGCTCATTAGCGGAAATATTTTTAGAAATAGTCTAAAATAGGAAAAGGAGTCTTTTATTTTAAGTACTTGTTTTTAATTAAAAATAACACCGGAAAATTTGAAAAAAAAAAAAAATCTGTTAGAAACCAGCTGTCACGCTAAGACTCTACAAAAAATCTGCATAAAGCAACAAGTAGCCTACACAACCCTGAAGAGACGAAAAAAATCTTTGGATAGAGGATACCGGTATGTGTTTTTTTTTCTCCTTTTGCTATAAAATTACTTATTGGAATTTTTCAGGATACAAAGAAGAGACAAATACATGTAAATAAGAGTCTAACAGCACAATGAGGAGAATAAATTCTGACTTTGTTTTTGGTCACAGCAAAAGAAGAGGTTTCATTGTGGTAATCACTGTATAACCCCTTGTAATGAACTGACAGAAAAAAAAGGCTAATTTTAAAACTGAATGACGTTCTTTGACGTCCCAACACAACATTTTAGGGAAGCAAATATCTACGGGGCCACGGATGCCCCACAGTTCAAGTGCTCAACGTTGCTATCGATCGACAACAAACATTATCAAAGCAAAACAAAGAGACATCAAACATACATCAAAAGCAAACAAGAGATGCGGTGGATTAACAGAAAGTGCCATATTTCTTTCTTTTAAAGAAAAAAAAAAAACAGGGAAACACCATCACTTTCCACGTTCAATTTCACAGCCTAAAAATATATTGAAGCAACAAACAATATACATTTATACAGAAAAATGTCAACATAAATAAATAACCAGTAATATAAACACAATTAACAAATAAATAAATAAATAAATAGATACACTTTAAAAATGATTAAGGTCACAATTTCTCATGTCATAAGTAGCACTTGACGCATTTAATCTTTTTTTTTTTCCCGTATGGAAAAGTTAATCTAAACTATACGATCTAAAGCAGCTATACGTTTACATCCCTTCATTTTGATGTGAAAAACCGCCCAAACCCCGCCAGGTTATCTGTTAAACCTCAGTCTGACACAGTGAAAAAAGCTAAATGTGCACTGTTAAAAGGAATTTAGGAGCACATTAAAGATTAGCTATAAAATCACTTCAACTTGAACTAAAATTAGCATGTTAATGTGATGTGTAATATTGCTTACATTCTATTTTAGAAATTTTAAATTGGGTCCAAATTAAGCTAGTTTAGCAACAGCGCTAATGCTAAAGTTAAACTCGCTAGCAAGCGGATCCTCAAGAACATGAGGCTGTTAAAAATGGTGAAGAATAAAAATGTTAATTCCTTTATCAGCAATGTTTTACCAGACTATTTTTGGTTTATTTTTTATTGGAGGGCAAATCAAATAAGCAATGACATATTTAGCTGATATAAATAACAATAAAAATGACCTTAACTCCTATTTAGGTGTTTATTAGCAGGTACAATTAAACCATTTTCAATCAGGAATTATGTTTAAACTTGATTCATAATAAGCCTTTGCAACTATTTGTCAAATGTTAACTTTTTTTCTGTCAGAACTTGCGTTTATTTCTTAAGGTAATTAATAATAGTGTTTTGTATTTTAATTTTTAAAGCAACAAGTGCTTAAAAAAGGCCTGGATTATAACTGATTAGACAAAGTGGGTTGATTTAACAGGTTTTTGTCAATTTAGGAATAGTAGGTGAGAAGAAACGAAGGAGCTTTATGTCATAGGTGTCAGATAGATGTAAGTTACACCTTTAAATATCTAGAAAACTCAAATCCTCATACCTTCAATTTAAATGAAAACCAGAATGAATTTTAGAGTTACTCCTTTCTTATTTAATTCTGACAAAATATTGTGAGAAGAGTTTAGAAAGTTTTAAATCTGCTCAGGGTGGTGCCAGCAGAGAACATTACAGATAATATCAGTTATATTAAGAACTGTTAAGTTATGTTTGACAAAACTATTTAGTTTATATTTACTATTTCAATACCAACATATTGCTGAAGTCAGACCTTGCTAGCAAGCTGAACTTTTTATTGCCTCAAACTAGCTCATCTTTATTGTGGTTGTCTGGGTTAAGGAAGGTGTGCCACCATGTTATTTTTGGCCTCTTTATAACATGGAAGACAAAGTAAATGGGCAAAAATTACCTTGATGACTTGTTATAATTTCTTTAAAAAATAAAGTCAGACTGATGATAAACCCAACTAAAGTATGTAAATTGTTACTCCAATTTAATTGGTTGAATTCTAAGTTGTTGTTTTTTTTCAGTGTAGCTTGTCTGCCTAATACGGAAGAGGANAAAAAAAACTGTTGCATTAGTTTTTTTCAGTGAAAAGATGTCCAATGATGTTTGGAGAGGCATTAAAATGATCTTTTGAAAATGTTAGATTATTGCATTTCTGTATCATTGGAATGCTTTTTTTAATGTATTTTTTTTATAGCCCTAAATTGAAACTATATTTTATTGAATATATTTTTAGAGTTCATAGATTGATGGATTTCTGTGCTGAGGCCTCTCTGCTAATGAAATATTTAATTAACTTCTGTTTTGATTAGATGGATGTTGTTTTATTCTCTAAGATTTGTTAAAAAAAATGTATTGTTTCTTGCAGGTTTTTGAGGAGGAACGCCCGCCCACACAAACGAGTGCAAAAATGATGCTCAGTCCGGATCAGGCCGAGGCGGACCTCTCCTGGACCCAGTCCGACCCGGAGACGCTCCTCAACGGCCTCAAGTCCGCCGGCTGCACCTCGGATGAGCCGACGGAGGGCGAGGAGCAGCGGGCCAAGTGCAAAGCCGAGCAGCCGCTCAGCAGAGAGGAGAAGAGGAGGCGGCGGAGGGCCACGGCCAAGTACCGCTCCGCGCACGCCACCCGGGAGCGCATCCGGGTGGAGGCGTTCAACGTGGCCTTCGCTGAGCTGCGAAAGCTGCTGCCCACGTTGCCCCCGGACAAGAAACTCTCCAAGATCGAGATCCTCAGACTGGCTATATGTTACATCTCCTACCTGAACCACGTGTTGGATGTCTGAGTGGGAGAGGATGGGGGGACTGGTGTGGGAGTTTTTTACAGAAAGCGCAGTATTTTTTAAGCCTTTTACAGCTGATACTTTAGGCTATGGAAGAGGATTAGGGCCACTGGAAAAAAAGAAAAATTAACTGCTTTTTAAATATTATTTCAGTTTAATATGAGTAAAAAAGTAAGAATTCTGGGATTAAAGTCGAAATTCTAACAAAAAAAACACAAAACTCACAGAATAAACACAAAATTTCGACTTTAATCCCAGAATTCTTACTTTTTTACTCATATTAAACTGAAATAATATTTAAAAAGCAGTTAATTTTTCTTTTTTTCCAGTGGCCCTAATCCTCTTCCATAGCCTAAAGTATCAGCTGTAAAAGGCTTAAAAAATACTGCGCTTTCTGTAAAAAACTCCCACACCAGTCCCCCCATCCTCTCCCACTCAGACATCCAACACGTGGTTCAGGTAGGAGATGTAACATATAGCCAGTCTGAGGATCTCGATCTTGGAGAGTTTCTTGTCCGGGGGCAACGTGGGCAGCAGCTTTCGCAGCTCAGCGAAGGCCACGTTGAACGCCTCCACCCGGATGCGCTCCCGGGTGGCGTGCGCGGAGCGGTACTTGGCCGTGGCCCTCCGCCGCCTCCTCTTCTCCTCTCTGCTGAGCGGCTGCTCGGCTTTGCACTTGGCCCGCTGCTCCTCGCCCTCCGTCGGCTCATCCGAGGTGCAGCCGGCGGACTTGAGGCCGTTGAGGAGCGTCTCCGGGTCGGACTGGGTCCAGGAGAGGTCCGCCTCGGCCTGATCCGGACTGAGCATCATTTTTGCACTCGTTTGTGTGGGCGGGCGTTCCTCCTCAAAAACCTGCAAGAAACAATACATTTTTTTTAACAAATCTTAGAGAATAAAACAACATCCATCTAATCAAAACAGAAGTTAATTAAATATTTCATTAGCAGAGAGGCCTCAGCACAGAAATCCATCAATCTATGAACTCTAAAAATATATTCAATAAAATATAGTTTCAATTTAGGGCTATAAAAAAAATACATTAAAAAAAGCATTCCAATGATACAGAAATGCAATAATCTAACATTTTCAAAAGATCATTTTAATGCCTCTCCAAACATCATTGGACATCTTTTCACTGAAAAAAACTAATGCAACAGTTTTTTTTGCCATTTACTTAATCATATTTATTTACTTAATCATATTTATTTACTTTATTTACTTAATTGTTTCATGTAAGCAGGGTAGGACATAAAACAATTGTGTTAAAGTAACTAAATATGATTAAGTAAATGTCAAAATAGGATGCATTTTTTTTTGTTTTCATCTTAATACAAATATACATGTTAAACATATTTACATTTTTAATCAAAATACAGCCTAAAAAGGTTAATATTAAAACTTGTCAAACTGCTCTGACCAACCTGAACCACATTTCAATAATAAACTTACACTTTTAAGTCACAATTTTCACACTTTTAAACAGATTTAAACGTTTAAAATGACAGTATGTCCAGAGACAGCTTTAATCTTTGTTAATCTCCCCTATGATTATCTAAATAATCTTATAAAAGTTTTAAGCAGAAAAGAATCTTAAAGATTGCATTATCTGTAGTACATTTGCATGAAATACCAACAAAAAAAAGATTTAAAGACTAATTTAGTTTTTCATATTTGTAAAAATAAACTAAAACTGATGCTGCATTAATTTAATGCATGAAAATGTTATATTTTAATTAAAAAGAAGCTTGAATATTTAAAAGATATGTTTAAATGTTTGAATTTAAGTATTTCTGAGGGGTTTTAGGAGGGAAAAATAAAACTGGATTCAACTTGTGTTTATTTTTTGAGGAAGAAGCTGGCCATTTTTCCCCCTGAATTAACATAATCAGAATTGGCCATCTGTCACAGTGTGATGAACACATCTGCTGAGCTTATTCTGGAGTGACTTGACAGCAGAAACTAAACAAACAAGACACTTTAAATAAAGCACAACCGAATGAAATGTTGCAGCTAGTTATAAATTATTTGATAAATGGAAAAACTAAAATAAAAACAAACTCTAAACATGATTTTTTTTTTTCAATTTTCTGTTAGTCTACAAATATGACAATATTAAAGGCTATATTATTTCAAATCAAGAAGATAATAAAATATTTTTTTCTTACCTTAAAAAGAGTTGGGAGGTAATTTCTTTCTTCTTTTGATTAAGAAACTCCCAATTAACTCATATTCCACGAGCTGAACAAGCATCAGATGTCAAAGAGACGAGGAAATTGAAGAAAATGCACCAAAAAAAAAGTACTTCTTTCACTTTTTCCTGCTGGAAACTTGCAACACGAGCATCACAGAAAGCATTGAAAACAGAAAGGAGTGCAAAGTCTTCCTGGGATTAGTTCAGGAGATCTAGAGAAACATTTAGATTTAGAAATAAAAATGTAAAAAAAAAATAAAAAAAACTGATTGGGATGATAAGAGGGGAATCAGCCAGCCCTCTGTTGGATTTAGGCAGTAGAGACAATAGATGAGAGTGGCTGATAGGGAGGGCTACTGGTCCATCCGAATGTGGAAGACGGGGATGAAGAGGATGAAGATAAGCGACACTCTTCCAGGTCGGGAATCAGGCAGATCGCAGATAAATCCCCCCCACCTCGTTTCTCTGATTCCTCCTCATCCACCGAGCGTCATGTGAAAGATAAGATCCAAACGATCCCCACTAATAAAGGCTCACTTCATGGATGGAGGGGACGGAATATATTGGAGGAATGGGCATTGTCTAACACCGCCTCCCCCTTCCTTCCCTCCTCCTGCCTCTCCTCCTCCTTTTCTCCTCACGCCCCTCGGCCCTCGAGCGCTCTGCCTCCCGTGGGAGTACTGGGCAAAGGGAAGGCAGAGATGTGTGCATGATAAAGGATGGGTAGAGGGGAGGAGTGGGGGGGTACATGCATGTTGTGAGTTTGTGCATGTGTGCGTGTGTTTTTAGTGAATAGCAATGATTAAAAAATAGAAACTGTTTTGTTTGAGATGCAAGCAGAGAGGGCAATGGGAGGGCGTTTCGGTGGGCGATGAAGGACGGGGTTAACTCTGATTCTTATCATGCATGTTGGCCTCATGTTCTTACAGGATTTAGTCAAATAAAAAATAAAAAAAGCAAATTAACAGGTAAAAGTATCCACTAGTTATCCCTGTTAAATTATACCTGTTGTGTCAGGTTAGAGGTTGTGTTTGTAGTCATGACAGGATCAGGAAAGGAAATTAAACACATTTTTCTGTTATCTTTTATTTCCAGGTGTATGATGGCCAGAGATGGCAAAAGTACTCACTTTCCGTACTTGAGTAAAAGTACAGATACTTGTTTT